TAAAGGGGCATTATCAAAACAGAAAGGCACTGTGTTGGCAGAACTTCCCTGTCTTGCAAACTGGGTTCTGGTTCACACTGTCAATCTCTCATTGATTCAGAAAGTTGCTAATAAACTCCCAACTGGAAGTTAAGGGTATTTTGATGGAGTGTTACTTGAGACCTAAAGTGGAAAACCTAAAAAATATCTTAAGAGTTGATCAAACAAGCAAAATTGAAAAGCGGATAAGAAGGTAGATTCCTAAAGGGTGGATTTCCTTTCTGTGTTTGAAACTGTTTCCGCTGGCACATGCTGACATTGGCCATTTCTCTGAAAACTGTTACTGCTTCAATTTGCCCAGGATCTTATATTTAATGTTCAGATTAATTTGGATCATCTGTGATCTAAGGGCCACACAGTGAATGGCTACCATTGTGAACAAGGAGTGCAGCACACCCAGCAACTTCTCCCCTCCAGTATGCAGCAGAATCTAAGGTGCAGACTCCCCCAAGCTGCAAACTTGGGAAACTTCCTGCTTCATCATTAGTAGATATTGGTTGTTATTGGTTGAATAGGAAGAAAATGGAAGATGGGGATGAGTTCAGTTAAGGATTGATTAGTTTTAAAGCAAAAATTAAAGGGAATAGAGTCATAATAATTAACTACCATTAAGATATTTTGAGTTAACTTGTTCATGTTAATTCACTGATTAAAATCCCCTAAATGACAACTATCTGATTCTAGAGTCTGTACTCTTAACTACTAAGTCATGCTGTTTTTCAAAAAGTTTTCTCTAATGCAGTAGCTACAGTTTGTTTCCATCCCTCAGTCAGGGTCTAAAATCTCAAGCTGGCTTACAGGACAGAAAAGTCACCTTCTCTGTAGGCTGATATTACTTCTACATCTTTTTCTCTTTCAAAATCACCCACCCCACCATTGAATTCTATAGAATTTAGCTTCAAAATTTAGGTGCACTCTTTCCATTTGTAGCCCATTTCTGCTGCCACCATCCATCAGCCAAGCCTCTAGAATTCCATAATCTGTTTCTGTGACTACAAATTAGGTCATATTAACTCTAGTGCCTGTATTAGTTAGGATTAGTCTGGAATGTCCTCTAAACTGGTTCTCCCACTTTTCCTGTAGCACCTGAGATGAGGTTTTCCAAAGTATATCTGTTTTCCAGCACTTAACCATTTAAAAATGCAAACTTGTTCATGTTAATTCACTGATTAAAATCCCTGCTGACATTATCTTTGCTGCTTTTGCCTTGATCAATACAACTTGACCACAGATGCCTTAGATTATTATCTTCAATAAGGCCTCTGGTTATCTGCTTCAGGGCCTGTGTCTTCTACTAGAAACTCTCTTTCCCCCGATGCTTTCCTTCATGTCTTCTCTTCCTTTATGCCTTTATTTTATTTTTTTTTTCTTAGAGGCATGTTTTATTTATTTATTTATTTGTTTGTTTGTTTTGTTTATACATGCACTGGGTACAGTCAGAAGCGCGGGAGGGTGAGAGAATTCACCAGAGCCAGAGCGGGGAGCAGAGCAGGCAGAAGGACCGAAGGACACTGCTGAGGGGAGCAGCGGGCGGCAGGAGAGGTCTGCGCGCCATGCGGGACCCTCCTCCAGTGGCCGGGGAGCAGCCGGGGATCAAGCCGGCACCGCAGAGGCCGCGGGCAGCTTCGCAACCCAGCGCTCAACCGCTGCGCCACTGGGGAGGCCCCCTTTATGCCTTTAAATAAAGCCACATCTTGGAAAGGTGCTCCTTGACCAATGTATATTTTCATCAACTCTATTACAATTACCCTGTTTTATTTTCTTCAAGACACTTCATAACAGCTGACATTATCTTAATTGCTTATTTGTTCATTTATCACTTATTTGTTCACTTATCAGTTGCTCCACCCCCAAAATATGATATTTTTTTAAAAAGATTTATTTATTTATTTATTTATTTATACAAGAACCGGGGTACAGGCCAGATTCGCAGGAGGGTAAGAGGATTCACCAGAGACAGAGCAGGGAGCAGAACAGGCAGATGGACCGAAAGCACTGGAAGCTCTACTGAGGGGAGCAGGCGGGTGAGGCAGGAGAGGTCTGCCTTGCCATGTGGATTCTCCCTGGCCAGCCGGGAATTGAACCTGCGCTGCGGAGGCTGCAGACAGCCCCACAGCACTATGCTCAACCCGCTGCGCCACTGGGGAGGCCCAAAATATGATGCTTTTTAGTATTTTTTCTGGGGCTATCTATCCTCACCAGCAAATGCCTCCAGGAGGCACCACCTGCAACAGTCTTTTGGCTTCATCCACCTGTTATATTTTCGCTTTCAGTTTTTATCACCATAAAATGGTAAATATTGGACAAACCCTCTCCATTGGCACAACTACAAGCAACAACATTATACAATACAATGGCATAACATATAATTACAGCAAATACAGTTATAGCAGTTAAACAGATATCCAACATGGGTATACAGGTCAATAACATGAACATTTTTAAAAGAGAAAGATAAGGCCTTTGTGCAATGATGGAACCCTTGCCCCCCCCCCATTCCTCATTTGGAAACATCTGTCTTTTTTTTTCTTTTGCATTTTTTACATTTTTAGCCCTGCAGTGTTTACATGAATCCCCATCCTGTGCTGTAATAGACTTTTTTTTTTCATACTTTTACATCTTTTTCCTTTTTCATTTTTTTAAGGACATTTGTTCCAGTGGCTGTCCTCTTTGCAGTAAGCACATTGGCCACTTCTTAAAGGTTCTCTTGTTGTCCCTTCTCTATTTCTTCTGAATTCTGTTCTGGCTTTCATTTTAATAAACACTGTTGCAGGCTCAGGTCTTCTTTTTTTCTTCTCTTCCACTATACACTCTGAAGGCTATGTCCACTAATTGGGAAGTAGTGAATTCCACAGCCCCATCAATTTTATTTAACTTTTTTCTTATATCTGGAGGATGTTGTGGCATGAATACCAGGTTAACCATTCTAAGTTTCTCTGGGGCTTCAGGATCTAAATCTGTGTAAGAATTTTCCAAAAATTCTGAAGGATCTTCATTTGGCCTTTGCTGAACCTCTGTGACCTTACTGAGACTTTTCTGTTTTGGGATCCCCTGCCTGAGTCTTGCTAACACTTTTGGTAGTGTTTCAACATTTTTCAAACCTCCATTATTAGGATCCCAATTAGGGGCCGCCAAAGGGACAGCTTCCTCTACTTCTGGGTTGCTTATATACTCTAAGCTAAGATGACCGCCTTTGTCCCTTGCCTTTCCCATGACCAATCTCTGTTCATCCCATGTAAGCAGTGTGCTCAACATAGACTGTGTCTGCCCAAGTGGGTCAATGGGAGACAATAACAAACGTGAACAATTTCACCATTTTCTTTTAGGGTTTTGCCTATATGAAGGGACAGAATTTTTCTAATTCATGAGATCTGCAGGGGTAAAGGGACTATAAGACCAGTAACACCCACCAAGCTAACCTCATTCATTTAAACTCCCTATTGGCAACTGGCAAAGGGGGAAACTGTCCTGTCCCAAAACTGTTTCCTTGACCATACTAAGCACCTCCTCTGGTATGGGAAGGAGAAATCATTTCAGTATTATTGCTGAAGGGCAGTGAAGCTTACAGAGCCCTTGCAGCCTCCTCAGGAGGGGCACCAGCCACGTGAAAGGGATTTTGCGTGGGCGGGTTTAAGGTTGCCACCATGAGGCAGTTCTCCTCTTCCTGTGCCTCTTTATTACCACTATCAGGTAAAGGAGATGACTGAGTCCCTGTTCTCTGTGCCATCAAATGGGCATCTTCTTTTTTTTTTTTTGAATCTGATTTCTGGAGGGCTGTCTCTACCCTCTCCTCTAATTTTTGTATCTGATCTTGCAGTTTTTCAAAAGAGCATTCAACTTTTAAATAGGCTTCTTCCTTTTCTGAATCTGACTTCTGGAGAGTTACTTTTACTTGTATCTGCCCTTTCAGTTTTTCAAAAGAAAGTTTAACCTTTAAGTGATTCTCCAATTCTGATTTTTGGAGGACTACCTCCAATTTCTGTATCTACCCTTGCAATTTTTCAAAAGAATGCTCTACCTTTAAGTGGTTTTCTAATTCTGATTTTTGGAGAGCACCCAGTATGCGCTCTTGCGATTTCTGTATCTGCTCCTGCGGTTTTTGCATAAAATTTTCACTTCCTTTTTGACCAAAACAGTATGCATACCAACATAACCAAGAGGACTACAATAAGACAAATCCAAGATTTGTGTGCAGATTTCCACTATATGCTCATATAATCCCCAGCAATAAAGACATTAACTTGTGGATACCAACTTTACAAAATTTCTCAACTCAAAACTCATGATTGAAAAAGTAGAAGCACCAGTGGGTGGAGAAGCAGAACCACCCAAACTGATGGTTGAACTCTTGACTAGTACTCAAGAAAAATTTTTTTCCAAATCAATTACTGCCAGATGTCTTGCAATTGCTCTGTGCTTTAAGGTGACAAGGTGAGGACCCTTAGGCTGGTCAACCACGAATGCCCCTTCCTGGCTCGCCAACTGAGACAGGGCAGCACGGGGCACTAAAACTGGCCAAGGAATATTTAGGGTACACTTATAACAAAGTATTGTTCGTTGTTTATCAAGAATTCCTTACTTAACTGCGCATCCTCTGTTTTTACTTGATGGTGTTTATTTGGCAATGGGGATGAAAACAGCATCTTTTATGGCAATCTATATTTAGAACTTTGTGTAAACCTTCAAAGTTCTTAAAAGAAGCATCAAACCTCCAGGATGCCCCCCAAATATGGACGAGAGCAAAGTTCAATAGCACTATGAACAAAATTACGAACTGCTTTGAGTGATGCACAAAGTTGCCTTCACGTAACAACACAGTGAGGTTGAAGCAACCTCACCGCCAGGAGGAAAAGAACTCCCCCTAGCAACCGTGAAAGCGTGCGTGCGTCTGGCTCTGCGCAAGCGCACTAGAGTTCCTGACGCTCCAAGCAGGGTCCCCGTCGCCCGGGAGAGTCACGTGGGCGCGCCAACGCAAAAGGGAAGCGACGCCACCATGTCACGTGACCGACGCCCAGGCTTTGCACAGGATGGAGCCGGAAGAGGCGACGCCCTTGTGGCGGCTGCAAAAGCTTTCTGTGGAGCTAAGCCCGCAGGTGAGGAGGGCGCTGGAGTTGGCAGCGCGGATCCGGGACTCCCGGGCGGCCCGGTTCACGGGTCAGACCGGTTCTTGTCTAGACTCCTCCCGACCCGCTCGGGCAGCCCTGGAAGGAAGGGGAAAGGGGCGTGATTTCGCTTGGGTAGCTCTTTGTTTATCCTAAAAAGCCGAGGGGAGTGAGGTTTGGGGGCGCCCCCCGCCTCCACGCTTGGACTTGAGGTTGCAGCTCCAGCGTCTTTGCGCCCGGGCTCGCGCCCGGACCTGGCCTGTCACCGCCCCTGGTACCTAGTGACCGTGGGCTGGGTAGTGGAGTCGCCTAGAAGTCTTTGAAAGCGTATGAATTGGAGTCGCAAGCAGTAGTTTGCAGCCTCGTAGTTTCTTTCATTCATTCATCCGTCACCACGCTCCTTATGCACTGGGCACTGTGTTAGGTGCTGGGGCATACATACTACGGTGAGCTAGAGAACTGACCCTGCCCCTTGAGGGCACAGGAAAAAAAAGTTTGGAAGGTGCTTGATAAATTTGGCTACTTAATTTTAGCTTGGCCCCAAGTGGGCTTTAGCTCAGGAGGTGACATACATGTTGACATCTGGAGTCTAAGAAGGAACTTTGCTTGTGAGTATCTGGAAAAAGCAGCTTCTTTCATTCTTTCAGCCAGATTTTCTTTGAAGACTGCCAGATGCTGTGCCCAGCCCTCTAATAGGGTGGGACACCCTATGCTTTGGTGGAGCTTGCGATCTAACAAGGAAACCAAACTGAGTTATCCAGTAATGAGCTTGTTGGGAGGGATAGCAACCCAATATTTGAAAGGGCAAGGGGAGACTTTGTAGAGGGGTAGCATCTAAATGTCTAGGTTGAGAGCTAAAGGATAAGTAGGAACCAGACAGACCGCAGGAGAATGAATGTTTCTAGCAGAGGAATAGGAGCCACAGAGGCCGGAAGAAGCCAGCCAGCCCCTGGGGACGTTGAGGGCCTGTTGTAGCATCAGGTCCTCAAGCAAGGAGACTGACACTGGACAAGTGAGCAAGAGTTGAGCGGCTGGAGCCTTTATATGCCGTGCTTGTGTATTTAACCCTAATACCAAAGGCGCCAACAGTTTGTTTTTGGCAGGAGCAAAATTTTAATGAGTTTGAAAGATAAAATGTGGAGACACATTCACTGTGAAAGGAAGAAAACCCAGTGCTTACTGAAAGAGGATCTGCAGAAAAGTGTGGATTTCTTCTTCTTCTTCTTTTTTTTTTTTTGGCTCCTTAAATTTTAAAGCAAAAGAACCCCAAAACTTAGTATCCTAGTATTAGACCTGAAAGAAATTTGCCTACTCTTAAAAGAAAGCAATATATGCAAAATTGAGCTTCAGCATTAGCTTTGGAAGCTGTGGTTTTGTTTGCCTTCAGATTTCAAACTACTAACACAGTGATTATGTTTTTTTCTTAGCTCCACTGTTCCCCAGCAGTTCAGAATTAATTCATTAAGCTTTCCTTGAAAACAGCTTCTCAACTAAAAATCTTGCCTCTGGTCTTTTTTGTTGTTGTTGTTCTGAGCTTCTTCAGGTAATTTTGTTTTATATTGATAGGTAAGAATTGTGGTTCAAGGTGTTTGTTAAGAGAAGGAATCAAATAATGTGTTCCTCCGAGAAATTTCAGCTTCATTTTCAGGCCACCCAATAAAGCAAATAACATGTTAAAGCAAGTCACACATTTTTTTTTTGTTTCCTGGTGCATAAAAATTTATGTTTATACTGTAGTCTGTTGGGTATGCAGTAGCATTACGTCTAAAAACACAGTGCACATACCTTGGTTCTTTATTGACAATTGAAAAATCTACAATAAAAGACTTTGGTTTTTAGCATAAATAAAATGTCCAAGGAATTGCAATGTGAAATTTTTATACTCTACCTTCCTTTTCGGAATATTGGAAATGCAACATTGTATTTATAAGTTAATTTTAGCTTTTGAGGGTAAACAAAATTGTAGAAGTTCTGGGTTTTTTTTTAAGCTCTAACTTTTTAACTTATAAGAATAATATGAAAAATAGTTACATTTCAACCTTAGCAGATCTTGTAGATAACATGAACTTCTCCCAACAGCATTTGGTTGTTATAAAATCTGTTTTATAATTTTACTTATAATTATTTTCTTTTTTTCCTAGCTTCTTCACAAAATAATTGATGGCATTTGTGGCCGAGCATATCCTCTCTACCAGGATTATCACAGCATTTGGGATTCAACAGAATGGAAGCATGTTCTAGATGATATTACCAAATTTTTCAAATATGTAGTTGGTAAAAATTTGACTGATGAAGAGGTAACTTCACTCCAAATTGGTATACTTTAAAGTGAAAAATAAATGATTAATATTGAGTTTTTTATTAACTTGGTCTTTAGAATATTATGTAATATAAGGACCATCATAATAAGTACATGTTTTATAACAATATAAACCTCATAATTATGAATAAGTGGAAGTTCTGGGTCTTTGTAGTTTTATTTTTGGTTCCTTATGTCTTTTATTTATTTTTATTTATTTATTTAAAAAAAATTTTTTTTTTTTGTGGGACCCTCACTGGCGGCCGGGAAACCAACTGGTGCTGCAGAGGCTGTGGGCAGCCTTGCAGCCTAGCGCTCAACTGCTGCGCCACCAGGGGAGGCCCTGCTTATGTTTTTTAAATTGTGAAATATTTAAATAGAAGAAAGCAGAGAAAGTTATATAACTGATGCTGACTTGAATTGATTTTTGAATATTATACTAACCTTTTTTTATGTACCTCTTAATTTGATTTGCCAATATTTTGTATAGGATTTTTACATCTGTGTTTGAATGATTTGAACCTGTTAGTTTTTCTTTCCTATAATGAAATTGTAGGGTGTCAAATTTTATTTTGATCTCAAAATTTATCATAAGTATGTGTTTCTTTTCCTAAGTTTTATAACAGTTTATGCAAGATTGATCTTATTCCTTTTAAAGTTTATATGAAAGTGTAGCTAGGCATTTGCATTTTAAAAAGAAAGACCTTTTATTTTCTAACCATTTGTTTTTGTTTTTATAGATACTCCAGCAGCTGAATCAGTTGAATTCATTTCATCAAGAAACTATCATGAAATGCTTAAGAAGTAGGAAAGATGAAATCAAGCAAACTCTGTTAGATGAAATAGTTGATATATCTTCTGCACAGCTACGGGATTTTGACTGGCAGTTAAAGGTGAAAATCTGCTTATGAGCGTGAATTTTTTTATCTTGTTTTTTTTTTTAATTGAAAGAAGAAATAAATTTTTATAATATTATATGTCTAAAATTTCTGTTAGAGAATATGTTATCTTCATGAAAGTATCAAAAATAAAGTTATATCTCTTGCATTAACTTGGACATTAAATACACTGTAAACAGCCAAATCATTACATTGATGTATAACAACATTATATTAATCATATATTTATTTAATTAGAGCTGTAAATCATTAAATATTATATAGTGGAACAGTATATATTCAGTATTTATTTTTGTCTACAACTTTCTAGACCTTATTGTCTTCCTTATTGTCTTCCTAAGATTGGTAAATATGATTCTACTGCCAAGGGGGGAGAAATCTATAATGTGCTTTTAAAAGACCATTTAAACATTTTGAGAAGAGTCATGATTAGTGGGGCTCTTAACAATTTTAGACCAACTTTTTATCCTTTATAGCATGAAACAAATATGTTGTGTTTCTTGACTTAAGATTGAACCTAGGTAACATGTTTCATGTTATCTTTGTTGGTAAAGTAGAAATATGAAAAAAATAGCAGTTAGGTGGATTCATAACTAGATAAATAACCAAAAACAGGGCTTCCCTGGTGGCACAAGTTGTTAAGTGTCATCACTATCAAGCTTTTGGCAGCCACTGCAGCATGAGTTCAATCCTGGGCCAGGAAGCTAACCCACATGGCACAGCAGACCTTTCCTGTCTTGCCTGCGACTCCCCTTAGCAGTATATTTCAGTAGATCCACCTGTTCTGCTCCTCACTCTGTCTATGGTGAATCCTCTTACTACAACCCCCATTCCCGTGCCTGTGGACTACACCCCAGTTCTTGTATGCATAAATAAATAAAATAAACCTTTTAAAAAGTCTTTTTAGTTAATTTAGTTTAATCCTTTTAGTTCTGGCTGCATAATTTAAGAGATACCTAAATAATTTGATTCCATCCAGACAAGAATGACTAGGAACTCAAAAGAGACTGACACCATCGGTGAGTGGGGAGGCCTGTGCCCTGCAGCTGGGGTGCTTGGAAACACTGAGACCATGACCATGTAACCAGAATAGCAAAATACTTTGTAAAGGTACAACAGTTATCTTTAAAGAACTGAAAATCTTATGGATGAGAGAGTAGGTATGTGCTCTGGTTTTCAGAAGATAAAGACAAAGGGCCAAAGTATGATTTGCAATAAGTTGGGTTTGAATTCAGCCTAGAGAAGAACTTTTTAGCAACTATAAGTATTTGAAAATCATTTTAATTCCTTGTTGCAGTGGTACGTTCATCATTGGTGATATTCCAACACAAACTGTGTAACCACTTTTTGGAAATACTGAGAATTATCAGTAACGTAGACAGCCTTTGGTACTTTCATACCTTCAACGTTATGAGTCCTATTTTGGGGGAGAGAAAATGGAGGAGCTATTTGAGTATTAGATTCTATAGTGAATATACCACAAGGGAGATCCTTTGAGATTGGTTGGTAGGTAAGAAGACCCTTACCATTTACCCAAGTAAATTTTTGCAAGTGGTAGCACACAGAGATTCAGTTATTTTGGGATTTTCTGACTCAGATTCAAGGTAAATTGAATTTCCCTTTGCTGCCTGCCAAATGAAATTATGGTGCTTGTTTCAAAAAATACAGTATCATAAATACTTGGTTCTTCCTTTTTCTCCAGGATACTCTCTTTAGACAGAAAATAGGAAGCGAGGTAAATGTGTTGAATGTTTTTGATGAATGACTCTAATCGAAGGTGGTATCTTGATAACATATTAATAGTTTAGTGGTAAGTTAGCTGATCTTGACTTAAACTTAATTTAATTTCCATGAATTTCCCTGTGTTTCTAGTTTTATCTTAGTGTATAAACTAATTCTCTTTGTGTCTTATATTTCTTAAGAAGTCTCTGTTTCTTGCTGCATTAATCCACTTCAGTACTTTCCAGCTGTCACTTTGCTCTAGATTTCTGCTTCTGCCACAAATTGCTGTTTGTCTTTTTCCCTAACCTACTTTCTCACTTTCATTCACTCTCCTTTTTCATACTTTTCTTCAAATACTATGGATTAAGCGTGGATTTAATTTATTTCTTTTTAAAGATTTATTTTTATTTATGCATACAAGAATTGAGGTGTAGGTTAGAGTTGTGTGGGGAGTGATAGGATTCACCAAAGACGGTGGGAAGCAGAACAGGCTAATCTACTGAAACACACTGCTCAAGGGAGCAGTGGGTGAGACAGGAGAGGGCTGCTGCACCATATGTGGGTTAGCTCCCTGGCTGGGGATTGAACTCATGCTTTAGTGGTTTGTGATAGCTTGATAACTCTGAGACTTAACCCTTGTGCCACCAGGGAGGCCCCTGGATTTAATTACTTTAACCTTTCTCTGTATTTGATAGCAAACAGGTGTACTTCTTTTTAAAAAGGTATTATTAATGAGCGCTGATGCATATTTAATATACTCTTAACAATTTACTATTAAACTTTTTTCCTAATTTTAAACAGTTTGCAATTTCAAGTGACAAAATTGCTGCACTACAAATGCCACTTTTAAACCTTCATCTAGATGTAAAAGAAAATGATGACGTCAAATCATATTCTGTTGAAATGAACAAAGAAGAGCTGCAGAATCTAATAAATTCCTTGGAAGCAGCTAATAAGGTAGTTTAATTTTGTCATATGGTTTTAAATTTTAATTGATACCCTTAGGTCAATAAAAGAAAAACTCATAATTTATTTTTAATATTTCTTTTGTTTCTGATATATTAAGCACAGAAATACTTTTTTATATATTTTTCATATCTAGTTTTAAGTATTAAATTAGTTATAACTTGTAATTTTAGTTGCTTAGTTTTGAGCATTTGTTTTTTAAGTAGTGTTTCCTTTTTTGAAAGGTTAAAAGTGCAGTTGTAGCTAGATTGTTTTGCCCTAGTGCTTATTAATGATGATAATAAGTTTTCAACCTAGGACTGTAAAATTAGTTGATTCTGAAGAGTTTTGGTTAAAAATAGTTATGATCTTAGAGAAAAGAGATTTTTACCTAACTGGGCAGATAATATAAAGTTGCTTTTATAATCCTCTTAAATATGGGATATTAAATATGACTTGTGGTTATTACAACAAAATCAGATTGCCACCAGATAGAATTTATAAATGGATAAAAACTGCATAAAGCAATGGTCATGTAATAGTAACTTTAGTGTTTAATGAGAAAAATAATATTTTGATATAGAATAAAGGTAATTATCTTTGTATATGTACATTCCTTTCTTTATTGCTCAATATTTTTTCTAGTGAGCTAAAGTCAGTTATTCTTACCAGACTCTTGCCATTAACCAGTCTGCTTAGCTCTCTACCTTTTAAAAATCCTGTTGTACTTCAGTTTCCCTTCATCCTCTGCACTCAGCCATTTCCAAGCCTTGATAACTGGTCCACATGCCCAGTCACCAGGCTGGTATCTTGGTTTCAGTCTTTGCATATGACTAAATGTCTGAAATGGGGTGTGGTAGATATTAGTATAAATGTTAAGGAATTCTGAAGCATAAATCATGCAGGCACACACCATCAATTACTGTGCTTGGTATCAATTCTTCATGCTCTCTTTCATTTAGGCATCATTCTGGTATAATCTGTTCTCCCTTTTTGTGTTTTAAGGTGGTCCTACAGTTGAAATAACTGGAAATTATGAATATCAACACAGTCAGATTCCACTGCTGCAACTGAATGCAAAAGGAAACTGTGTTGTCTGAGAACTGGGGGTATACTTTTATACCAAGCTGAGAAAGCAGCACTGAGATTACAAAGATTAAACTTACCTGCTTCTCTAGGAACCGGTAATTACATGGTTGACAGTAACTGCAAGATGAAAGCTAAAAAAGCTATAATAGCAGGTTATATTTTCATAATGAATTTCGCCTCATTTGTTAAGTATTTCAGAAATGTTTATAGATAAACAGTTTTATTAAAAGCTAAAAATAGGCTTTAAAGTAATGTAATCACGCAGAGCACAAATATACGTAAAGAGGGTATGTGAGTAGCAAGGATGTGTATTGTGGATATATGTGATTAATTTGTGATAATTAAAAATAACTTAAAGAATATATAAGCTGCATATATATCTCAGGAGATTCTAAATCTTAATCTTATATTTCAAAGGAAAGATTATAAAATATAAAATTTCTTAGAGAAAGAGCTCTTCAGACAAGAACAAGAAGAAAATTTGTGTGAAGAATTTTGAGTTTAGAATTGTAGAAATGAAAATTTTACATTGGAAACAGGAAAAATGAAAATAACATTGTTTTTTCTGCCTTTCTGTGTCTGACTGGGTGAATATACTGTGGCAAAAAAGAATAGATGCCATTGTACAGTGTGTATTGCTATTTAAATATCAGCTAAGACTATATGTAGGTCCACTTTTGTTATAAACTCTTAATATTGAATGTAACAATTTTGGATGTTAACAACTTCACTTTGGGAAAAAGCCATTTTTAATTTCAGTTAACTAAAATCAAGCATTCTTAACAAATAAAAAATGTTATTTCACTTTCAATGTTGTTTCATTTTAGATGACTTTCCACAGAACACAATAACATAATTAATTGGAACCTGCTCCTTTACAAACCATAGCTCACTAGCCATGAGACTATTATTTGACTAGCTAGAGCAATAACACTATTCTAATTATAAAGATGAAGATAGAGGGTGATCTAGGTGATGCTCCTTAGTATGTGTCTGTAGACTAATGCTTGTTTATGACTTTTTTTGAGGTTGGTGATTATGCTAAAATGTTAATATACTGAGATTTTTTTTTTAAAGATTTATTTTATTTGTGCATACAAGAGCTGGGTGTAGGCCAAAGGTGTGGGGGTGAGAGGATTCACAGAACAGGCAGATCTACTGAGCTACACTGCTGAGGGTTGCAGCGGGCGAGACAGGAGAGGTCTGCTTCATCATGTGGCGCTCCCTGGCCAGGAATTGAACTTGTGCTGCAGTGTCTATGGACAGCTTCATGGTGCTGAGACTTAACCCCTTGCACCACCAGGGAGGCACAGTATACTGAGATATTTTGGTTATGAAAGATACCAGCTGAGCTAGTGTGCTTAGTGAGGTAGTTGACTTTACCTTCTTGTGCGAGTCTTCTGTGTCATGGACAAGTGGCAGTTGGCAGACCAGCAATTTAAATAATACCCAGTTCATGAGGTTCCTGCAGAATTTTGTCCCTCTGCGCAGCACTTCCTTGGAAAAGCAAATATTCTTACTCTGCTCATTTACCCTTCACCACATGTTGTTACTCCATCAGCATATTCAATTCCTTTTTTGAAATCTGGTATACTATAAATAGCATATACATAAAGTGCACATATTTAAATCTGATAAATTGTTACTTTCACACCTCCGAAAAGCACCACCTCAATTAAGATGGTTATTATATTAATATAGTATCACGCTGGAAAGTATCCTTGTTCCTTTGTTATCCCTGCTTCTGTGCCCTGTTCCCCTCACCCCCCCAAGTAGCTAATGATCTTCTTGTCTGTAGATTAGTTCACATTTTCCAAAGTTTAAAAGAAATGGAGTATATAATATGCATTCTTTTTGTGTGTGAATTGATTTCTTAAAGCATTATTTTGAGCTTCATCTGTGTCATTACATATATCAGTGGTTCATTCCTTTTTTTGCTAGAACCCTTCTGTTGTAGAGTTTTGTCATATTTGTTTATTCACTTGTTAATGGGTATTTTGGCTTTTAAAATTTTTACTTATCAAGATATACACGCTGCTGTGAAGTGTATATATATGTATACATGCCTTTGTATGGACATAAATTTTTTTGGAGTAAATGCTTAGGAGGGAAGTGACTGGATCTTATGGTAGGTTTATGTTTATCTTTTCAATAACCTGCCAAACATTTTGCCAAAGTGATTCTACCATTTTGCATGCCTACCAGAGTCTTATGAACTTCCCACTCCCTATCTGGCACTTTTTAATTTCAGAAAATAGGTGTGTAGTTCGAATTTCATTGTGGTTCGAATAATATTCATTTTCCAAATGACTAATGGTGTGGAGCATCTTATCACCTTTGTATTTGCCATCTGTATGTTTTTGGTGAAGTGTCCAAATCTGTTGCTCATTTCTTAGTTGGACTCTGCTTATTACTGAGTTTTAAGAGTTGGAGATGTAGTCTGATTACAAATCTTTTTCAGATACATGCCTTGTAAATGTCTTTGACCAATTTATGGTTAGCTTGTCTTTTTTTTCCCCTCCTGTAAATAGACTTTAATTTTTTTTTCTTTTTTTAAAAAGATTTATTTATTTACGCATACAAGGCCAGAAGTATGGGGGATGAGAAGATTCACCGGAGACAGAGTGGGGAACAGAGCAGGTAGATTGACTGAAATGCACTACTGAGGGGAGCAGCAGGCGAGACAGGAGAGGTCTTCTCCCTGTCTGGGTTTAGCTCCCTGGCCGGGGATCAAACTCTGGCCATTGAGGTGATAGTGCTGAGACTTAACACCTATGCTACCACGGAGGCCCTGAAATCAACTCTTAAGAGTTATATGAACCACAGTATTTATGACGGTACAATTTACAATATCTGTGCTATGGGAACAATCTCCGTGCCCACTAGTATAAGATTGGATAAAGAAAATGTGGTAGTTATACTGGATGAAATTGTATTCAGCTATAAGTAAAGATGAAATTTTACCATTTGCACAAAATGGAAGGAAATCTGGATTATTTGAAGCAAAAATAGAAAGATAAAGACCAATACTGGATGATTCCACATGTATGTGCACCATAAGGAAAATAAATGGATAAGTAGACAAAATAAAAATAAACTAGTGGAAATTAAAGACTGAAATGAGGTTACCAGAGTTATATAGTAGGGTATGGATGGGAGAAGGGGTTGGGCAGTTGTAGTGGATGGGGGTAGGTGGTTTTTCTCAAAAGGGTTAATTACTGATATATTTTGCTTCCTAATTGCATACTTACTTTAGTAAATCCTTAAAATTGCTTTTAGCAGCAGGCCTCCCCTGGTGGCACAGCGCTGGGCTGCAAGGCTGCCCGCGGCCTCTGCAGTGCCTGTTCAATCCCCAGCCATGGGTGAGGGTCCCCCATGGCATGCAGACCTCTCCTGCTGCACCTGCTGCTCCCCTCAGCAGTGCACTTTGCCGGTCTGCCTGTTCTGTTCCCCGCTCTGGCTCTGGTGAATTCTCTCACCCTCCCACGCTTCTGACTGTACCCAGTGCTTGTATAAATAAATAAATAAATAAATAATTGCTTTTAGCAGCACAGTGTAATTTCTGAAAAGTATGGAATGGGACACTTTAAAAAAGACGTCTCTATTTTGACAGGCATTCTTTAATGAAAAGAATTAGAAAAAAATTATGAGAAAAGGAATAAAAAATAATGTAGGGAGATTAAATAAGGAAGAGACAGTGAAGTGCACTTGCAGTCAGGTAGTGATACTGGTGACATCTTAACTGATGCTAGTGATGACAGATAAACAGTGTGCACAGACACCGCCCCAGGTGTCCTAGGAATGTCTTCCTCACATGCCCTCATATGGCAGTCTTTTAAGAGTGGTATATCTGACTTTCTTTTACCCACTCATAGCTGAGAACTTTCATACTTACTTTATAGTTATTGTAAATATGTGGATATTCTGGTTTGTCCTAATCTTATTTAATTTGTCTCCCATCTGAATTGTAATTTTCTCTGAGGCTGAGAAGATTTATTTGATATTTTTCCCTTCTCACCTTTTCCCATTGGCTTGCATGGTTGCTATTATTGAATTAGTTAACACTTTTCTATGTTTAGGAAGGTGTTGACTGATAGTAAGATTCTTATTATCTGTAATTCTTATAGCAAATCTTAATCATGCTACATATATACGTGTTCTTTCTGTAATTTAAATAAAATAAGTTGTTTATATATGTATCTCCCATTGTAATAACATAGCCTTTGGGAAATCATTGCAATGTAGGATGTCTCCAAGATCGCTCCAAGATCTAAGGCTCTGCTGATAAAAGTGATTCCCAGTTATTTTGCTGCTTGGATAGTAAAGGATCTCTACACTGGAATGTAGACTGAAAAGCTGTTGTTCCATAAACTTCACTTAATGGATTAATGAGCTTTACACCTTTAGTCTGATTATTATTTTATTGTCAACATTTTTTTTTTCTCAAGGGAGAAACAGTTTCCCAACTGAGTTTGGAAGTTGGAGATCTTCAAATTAGGAAAGGCTGACAGGTAGGCAAATTCTAAATCTCATATTTATAGTGGAGATTTTAAAAGAAAATCGACATGTTGTACCTTACTAATGGACACTATTAGGGTTCATATTAGGCATCATTTGTGAATACAAGGAAATTTCATTTCTTTTTTCCTCCTAATATATACTCTATTTTCAAGTGTTGGTAAGGCATGTTACCTTAAAGAATTCTAAAATAACACCCAAACAAACAAACATCAAAGTGGCACATGAATAAGCTCCTGGAAAAGTGCTGGTATTTTTCCCTAATTGTTGGATAATACGGCAAAGAATTTCTTCCAATTAAAAAGACTTCACTTGGTATTAAATTTTACAATGAAAGCTCTCAAATGATAGATTTAGAATTCTAAACATTTTTAACAATTGTAAAAAGATATGCCTGAAATCGTGCATGTTTTTCAACATAGTATAAAGTAAGCTGTTTATATGTAGGCATTTTTAATAAAAAAAAGTTTTATTTGTGTTTTAGGAATAAACAAGCGAACATAAGTTGTACATATTTACAGCAATAAACTACATTTCAGAAACTGCACAACGGCTTTTGTACATATAGCTGATGGTTTCTGACACCAGCCTTCAAATATATTTACTTTCATTTACTATAACATTTAAAATCTTACAGTACGAAAGCAAAGAAAACAGCAACTTATTTTGTAGCAAAGCCACACTATTAACAAAAATACCTAGTGAACTATAGTCCTGTGACTGTTAGGGTATCCATGAGTCCTGAAATCAAGAGCACAAGCTTTTCTTGTGTCCATACCTGATTGCATGTAAATTGATTTTGCATTTTACAAGAATACACAAATACTCAATGAATGATAAAGAATAGAAAAAAGGCCATAAAGGGTAAAAGGGTCAGGAATCAGAGGACACTGAACAGATTCTTATTAGCTGATTGACTGCTTAGAGGGAAATCTATTTCTTCTTTCATGTATCGAAATCAGTCTACTGGCTTCATGAATTTTGTCCACAGATAATTTTTGAGATATAGTGAAAGCATAATGTCACATACTTTAAGCATGTAAAAGGGAAGTGATGAAACTGTTAGAATATTTTAATTCAATCCCTAAAGAAAAGATACAATCAAGCATACTGTATGAAAGTTCGATTTCAAATGTAAAAAGCAACTACAGAAAATCACAAATTTCATTAGACAGAACAAGCAGTTTCAATCAGAAAATGCAGCATATATTGATATAAAATAGAAACTTGAATTATAAAAGGAGTCCACCTTCCCTTTCTTGGCATTTGTTAAACCTGTCTCATTTCATTAAAATTTCTATATGTTTCCAGAAATACTGATTTTTGCTGTTAGCTTTTTTCAGTGGCCTGGAGATTTACAAAAGTTACCTGCTTATGTAAAAAGCAAATGTTTATGTCAAAAGAGCCCAAGAACATTGAAAATATTGTAGTTGGTATTTCTTTACAACTAAAGGAATCCTGTATGCTGAAAAATAATGAGGAAGAAACTGATTTACTTACAAGAACTCTTTAATGCCAATCAGGATATTAATTAGATAAATTATATTTGGTAGGAAGGTAGGTAGATGATTCAACAAATCAATAAGTGGAGAGCCAAAACACAAGCAGTAAAATATTTAAGGTGTTCTAACATTTGGTGAATTTAGTAAAACAGATTTTGAGAGGCAACAGAAAGTATGATTTTTCTGTAGGTATGCAGCACCTGCCTTTGGAAGCCCCTGCTATTTAGTGCAGGGTGCTGTGACTTAAGATAGCAGGAGAGTGGTTTGGAAAATTTAACTTAATTTTTGGATTCAATCAAGCTTTAGGTGAGGTGGTAGCCAAAGAGGTGTTCCATTGCTGGCAGAATAGTAATTCTATTGTTTTGTCTAATGAGTCCTGCTTTCCTGAACTTCCTGAAAGACTATAAAGATCTTTGCCTTGGGTTGAGTCTCATTGGAGAAAGTCAAAGGAGTGAAATAATTATTCAAAGATGATGGATAGCCAAGATAATTTTTCAAGCAAGCTACCCTCAACCCAGATGCATTTCTCTCAAAAGCAGTTTTTAAACATTAAAAATTCCAAGTTATAGTTCCATTCACCTTTTAAATGACATACATTTTACATTAGCCATTAGGTCTCCTTCACAATGGCACAAAATGCTGCCAAGTGGTCAAAAACAGAAACCTGCGTTAAAGATGTGAAATAAAGATTTGGTCTTTGTTAAACATAGCATTTGGAATTTCCAAAAACCTCATGCAATCTTGACCTTGCAGTAATGCCACAAGGTATGAGGACTTGAGGAACATAGTCAATAAATACACACATTTCTATTCTAAACACAAGCATTTCCTACATAGAAAAGTAGTGGATGTTCTGAATATGAGCTAGTACTTGTATATGTAATTCTGTTTTCCACAACACTTCAGTGGGTTAAGGAGGATTCCTTAAAAATGTCTCAGGGGCATTGTTGCAAAATATAAAATATTTCAAGCTTTATCCAGTGACTATTTAAAAAAGATGTAGGAAACAGATTAACATGAATTGGTTAGATTAAAAAAGCAAAAGCAGATAGACTGCAATTAAATGTATTTAGGGAATATCAGTAGAAAAATATGGTATCTAGTAA